TGGAAACCCACAAGTTTGGGTCTCAGAGGAAGGCAAAGGCAAAAATCCCTTTGAATAAATCTTGCCAAGAAAATCCTATGATAGGATCACCATAAGTTAGACATGACTTGAAGGCACACCACCACCACAACAGCAACAACAACCACAAGGTAGAAGAAGTAGGTAAAGAGGAAGGCTGTATTACAGATGGATGGATTGAATCAAGGAAGCCATGGCCCTGATAGGGGGACTTGGCAGTCCCTCATTCATAGGACCGCCATAAGTCCAAGCCAACATGAAGGCAGCTAAGAACAAACAAGGTTGCCAACATGCTTCCAAGCTGAATTCAGGGTGATTGTAGTGAAGTTAAAAGCCCTAAATGGCTTGGACCTTGATACTTGAGGAAGCATCTCTCCCTAAGTGTGCCTGCTCAAGGTCTACATGGGGTAGCCAGATTGCCCTAAATCTGTTTTCCAGTTTTCATGGGTCATCACCAGGTGGGAGAAGAAGGTGCAAATTCTTTTTTTTGGGGGGGGGGGCAGGAGGCTTGGCTCAGGGCAAGTGGAAAAGGCTGTGTGCAATTCTCAACCTGAGATGGACTGAGCTCTCTCAAAGTGTGGAATCTCCTTCTTTGGAGATTTTTAAACAGAGGCTGGATGGCCATCTGTTGGAGCCAGAGGTGCTTTGATTTCATGTTCCTCTCCTGAATTTAACTCTTAATTTGTACTGCAGCCGTGTTTTATCTCATGGCTTTTGCAATGGAATCTGACTTCAGAGTAGATCCCCACTCCAATATGCATTCGAAAACACGCTCTGGAGGCCATTTTTCCAAGTCATAAGGTTCTTAATTGATTTGCCACTACAATTTGCAGACTCTTCAGGGAGTCTACAGTTAGCTTCTGCCTTCCCTTCCAATTGTTGTGGAGCCAGGGCTCACCTGCTACTCTGTTTTGCCTCCTCCTTTTGGCTAGAAGCAAGTAGGGTATATTAAACATTCCTTATCCCATTTCATTAGGTAAATGAGAAAGAATACTGCCTTCATTTCACCCTGGTCTGGGAACAATTCCTTTAGAATCCAAAGACATCGTGTTAATCTGGAAAATCAGCATGCCAAGGGGTCTTGCAGCACCTTTGAGACTACGAAAGTAGTTGGTAGCATGAAGCCTACTTCTTCAGATGTATATGATGGAGTGGAAAGCCCAGGGGAAGGGCTCTATATCCCATCAGTGAGGGTAAAACACTGTACTGGGACATTGGAAAGGGTCTTCTCAGCTGTGGCACCCCAATTGTGCAGTGTTTTCCCCTTGGAGATCCGATTGGTGCCAATTAGGCACTGGTTTAATCTAGACACAAGGTAAAATATGTTTATTAAAGCTTTTGGACCCCCATGATTGATCTCAAAATGCTAATGTTGATGATTTCAAAATGGTCTTACTCTTTCAAACCCGTTGGGAATTGGGTTGACTGTTTTAACTGCTTGTATTGTTTTAATTTGCTGTACGCCTCCCCAGTTGCTTCGCAGAGGGGCGGGTTACAAATAAATCTATTATTATTATTATTATTATTATTATTATTATTATTATTATTATTATTATATGGGCTTTATTTAAAAAGCATATGGGTTTGAGGGGCTTTGCTCCCTTTTACATCAAACCCTCCTTTAAATAGGAAATTTGGGTTCTTGCTTTAGAGGGATTGCGTCTCCCCTCCATCTCTCTGCCACCCAAATTCTGTAGTGTCAGCTATCAAGGAATACAGAGTCCACTAAGCCTTGCTATGCTTTATGGCGCAACTTTATGGCTTTATGATGAGGATCCTTAATCATTTCTCCCACACTTTTCCTCTTCAGAAGTGCTTTGTAATTCTTATCTTGTTTATCCTCCCAATAACCCCTTGAAGTAGTTAAGCTGAAGAGATGCAGTACAGGCCAGTCAAGGTCACCCTCCCTGGATGAAGAGGGATTTGAGCCAGAGGCTAATGCAGCCCAGATGGCAACAACACCCCTCCCCAGCTGATTTAATGTTCCTGTGCTAGAACAGGGTCCTCAGTCCCTTTTTGACAGAGCCTCCGTGCCTTTTCGCATCTGCCTGATGTTCAACAGATGCCTGTTGATCAACAAGTGCAGAGGACTAAGGATTGCCTAGTCCATGTCATCAGATGGCCATGTCAAGGGTTCAGAGGCAGCCGTGAAAACCATCAGATAACCATGAAAAGGGAACAGGGTTTTGCTAGGGTTGTTACATTGAAAGCTAGAAATGCTTTCTGTACTTTTAATGACTAGATAGAAAAGAAAATTTCAGGAGGGGTTGCCTGTCACACAACCATGGGTCCATCCACACTATAGAGTTACAGTCAGCCCTCTGCATCCACGGATTCCTTATCCATTGATTCAGCTACCCGCGGTTTGGAAATACAGTTGGCCTCCACATTTGCAGTTTTAACTTTTGCAGATTTTATTATTTGCAGTTTTGATTAATATGTTCTCTCTAGGAATCTCTAGCTCCTCCAGTGCAACTCTGACAGAAGTTGTCCATAGAGTTGTCATGGAGAACCTAGAGGTTCCTATAGAAAACACT